GTGATATGCCAAATGTGTCTAATATTCTTAAACCTATAATATTTCCTGACGATACTACCTTGATCTATTCAGACCCCAACCTCCCTACACTAAATAATGTTGTCAACAGTGAATTAGAAAAAAGGTCCACTCATGTATGTCAACTAACAAACTGACACTAAACATAGAAAAGACCTTCTATACCTCCTTTATTGTACCTCGGTTTAAGAGTTTAATCTGTTCCTGGAGATGGCTTGAAACCCGAAAACTTGTAAACCGAAGCTAATTTCCCCCGTAAGAAATAATGGGAAAGGAATTAATCCGTTCCTGACTACCCAAAAACCTCACTTCAACCTAAGTTCAATACTTTTATTCCACTCACTTTTACTTGTTTATTGTATTTTATTTGCTTTTACACTTCCCTGAACCTTTATGTAACCTGGGACACCACTGTAGCCCTCAACCTGTTCCCAGTAATTAGGTAATTTGATATTTCCAGGAGCTTGCTGCAGTGTGACTCCTGCCTCCTCCAGCTCACAGTCTCCCCTCCCCTTGTGTGTAGCTTTGGGTGCATGTTACCTAACCTGATTTCTCTTCTACATCTTAAGTGCCTACCACCTCTCCTCCCTGGTAGGTCCCTTTCTTGTTCTCTGTGGTTAATTAGCTTTAGGGAGCAACAAGAGGCTCCCTCCAGAAACCCAGTCTTGGATGTAATGAAACACCAATTTCTAGAGGAGCCCCGGTGACTCTTTGCCACCCTCCCTCCCGCCAGGATTATCGGTTCATTGTGAATTTGCTCATTAGATCCAGAACTGATTTGAGGAGCCGGCTGGTAGCCTGGGTCAAGCTGCCTGGTGATGGCAATCGGTATTAATGATTTTTAAACTAGCTTGAATGAATCTCTTATTCTGTGTTACTTGTTTGTGGAGGAGTTTGGTCGTTTTTAAAAGCTTTGTTTTCTGTTCACCCTCCAATTGTCTGTAAAGCTGTGCTGGCTTTCTAGAGTTTTTTCAAGGTGAAGTGGCAGATTGTCACCTGCTCCATGCAGCTTTCATGAAGGGGGCCAGGTTCTAGCTCTGGTCCCTGGTAGGCCAAACAAAAGTATCCACGACTGATGGTCACTGTATCCAAAAGATCACTTTTAGTATGAAGCAATCTCTAGAAGATAGCTTCAGGGAGCCACCAAGGCTCCAGAAATTGGCGTTTCATTACATTCAATGCTGGATTTTCAGTCTCCTAGAAAATATTGGTGCATTGAGCAATTTAAATTATTTGGAAATACAGTAAACCTATTACTGAATGATTTAATATTTTCTGTTTAGGTCACCTTGAGTGGACAGTGGGAAGATCAATTTGAGAAGTGGAGCATCAAACAAATGTTATATTTATTCACACCAAAGTGATAAAAGAAACACCATGATAAGCTCTGCATCTTCTGGAGGTGGACAAGAAAATGTGCTCTTCAATGCCAGTGTCCCAATTGAGGTGAAAACTCTTGTAAAAGCCTCACAAGGAATGGACAAGCTGACCTTCAGAAGAATGATTAAATGTATGTAAACTTGATGGTTCTTGTGGTATTTTTGTGAATATGTTTGGTAGGATTTTATAGTACTGTACTTATGGAGGATTCTCTTGGTGGCTTCCTGACATTATGACACTGAAATGGCTTCCCACTACTGAAAATTTACTTATCGAGTCACATCAACCATTTGGAGTCATGTATGGCCTACTGGGGACTAGAGCCAGAGCCTGGCTCTAGTCTTCATAGAGGCACTAGAGTCCTCTGGAGTCCTGGCAGATATATGGAAAAAAGGCTAACATATTTTCAAAAGTGGTGGCAGGGAAGACCCCCCATAACCACTGCACTGCACAAGGTGCCTTAACTCAATCGCACTCCGTTGCCTCCGCCCGTCGTCACTCATTTTTCTCTTGAGTCTTCTCAGGTGATGAGGTCCAGAGTCACTCATTAAAATATTTGTTAAAAATTTTAATTTGATCCGATCATTCTAGGAGTGGTTTCAAAATGAGCACCTTTAGATTGCGCACAATTTGATACCAAAACGAAAGACGTAACACGAAAATTGATGTCAGAACACTGGAAAGGTATAAATAATTTTGTAGCGATGAGTGTCCAAGAGTGTCCAAAAGTTAAAATAATTGTTAAAATTCCATTTATTGTTCTATTATTATGGGACTTATTTTAAAATACGTGTCTTTATATTGCGAACAATTTGATACCAAAATGAAAGACATGACGCGAAAATTTATGTGAGAACACTGGAAAGATATAAATAATTTTGTGGTGATGAGTGTCCAAAAGTTAAAATATTTGTTAAAATTCCATTTATTGTTCTATTATTATGTGGTTAGTTTTAAAATATGTGCCTTTTCTGGGGGGAGCCCCGTCGGCTCCCCGGAGCTATCCCAGGCTGATATGCTAATGTCAGACTTTGGCATCAGTCATGTGTATGGAGTTCTTAGGCCTACCGGGGACCACGGCCAGAACCGGGCCCCCTCAGAGAGGCAAGGGAAGCAATGGCCTATAGAAGCCCCCGTGTAGTTGGAAGCATTCTATGTCTGCCATCGACCGGAACAGGCACCCAGAAAGGTAAGCGCCCCAAAACAAACCCCTATTCTGGTTAAAATTGCTACCTAAAACCGAACTAGTGGATAGAACTCCCCAACCGAAAACAAGCAAACTAGTGTGACGTCACACACTGCCGCGCCGCTGTCTGCGCAGCTCCCCCCTCCCCGGGAGGGGGAAGGGGGAGCCCCAGACCCCCCGCGCCGGCTACCCACACCTCAGTTCTTGAGGCTGATGCTATAGGCGATGGTCGTGTGCTCTGGCTCCGGTGTCGCTACTGCACTGTGCTTTGCGTGTGGTGTTAGTTTTGTGGGTGCGAGAGCCAGGAGTTATCTTCAGTACTCGGGCTGCATGCGCCTAGGGCTGCCTTCCCTAGGTGCCCTGTAAGTACTGCCCTTGGGGCTTGGGGCCACCTTCCACAGGCTCCTCGGGGTCTGCCTCTGCTGGTCCGTTTTACCTTTCGGTTTTTCGGCCGCCTGTTGGGCTCTTGGGTGTTCTGTTCGCGCAGGGTGCTGCTCAGCTTGTATTTCCCGACATCGCGGCCGGCTCTGTTCCTTGGGGTTCGCTGTCCTCTTGCGGGGTTTTGTTTTCTTTTTCTTTTTGCCTGGTGGGGGGTTCTGTCATTTTATTCAGTTTGTTTTTGCCCTTCCACTGTTCTCCTCGGTGGCGCCCCCTGCTAGGTCCCCGTGAGTGTACACGTCCCTGGGGTTCAGCTTTAGAAGTTTGCTTGGTAGTTTTGGGCGCCGGTTTGCAGCACCCTGCCTGGGACTACCTGAGCGCGAGTCCTCTTAAAGTAAACGCTCAGGACCCTGGGAATCCCCTAGGGGGCGCGTGGGTCCGATGGATGTGACCCCGGAGTCCCCACTCGCTGTGTGCGAGTTTGAGGGTTGCTCGGTCCCCTTGTCTCAGGGTGACCCTCATTGTTTTTGCCTCTGCCACGCTGCCTGTTGGGTCGGTGATACTTTCGACCCTGAGCCCTGTGAGTGTTGCTGCTTGCTTGTGACTCAATTTACCCAATCCTCTGATGATTCTATTCGGGTACGGGCGGCACGTGCGTTGCAGTCTAGGTTTCGTCTGTTGCAACGCGCTCGGTTGGTTGCTTCCCCGGATGCCCCGGGGCTGCCCCGCTTTGCTTTTCGAGACCCGGACTTGGGGGTGGGGGTCGCTTCGATCCTGGTTCAGTCCGCACCTCCTCGTCCTTCCCCTTCTGTTCGTTCTGGTCCCCCGCCCCTGCTAGAGGCATTCGAGTCTTGTCTCCCGGCCGAAGCTTCAGGGTCTGACCAGTGGGCCCCCCTTCCTCCAGCTTTTCCGGCTGCTCCGTCCTTGTCTTGTGGGGTCGGGGCTTGGGGAGAGGACTCGGCCTCGGGTCCTGTGGTGACGGACCTCGAGGCTGGGGAGGGGCTGACTTGGGGGCCTTGGGCCCCGCTGGACCCCGCCTGGGTTTTTCTTCCCACTGAGCGGGGCTTATTGTTACAAGGAGTGGGGTTTTCTTTTCCCCCCTCTGCGTACGAGTTGGATTGGTGTCGGCCCCTCCCTGGGTTCGGTTCCGTGTTCCCCCGGGTGTGTCGGTTCCGTCTTTCCGGAGGTTTTCGGCTTATCGCATCCAATCTGGTGTGGTGCGAGCGGCCTTTGCAGCATACCTCCTGCGTGACCCGGATTATGCCTCGGAAATGGATCCGTCGGAATTCAGGTTTGGGATTTCGTTCCTTTTCTGGCTCCGTTATGAGGTTCCGGAGTCGTCCTGGCTAGCAGACTGCCCCTTGTTTGGTTTGGATGCCTGGCATTCCTTCTGTCGTTCCCGCATGCTGGAGTGGCGAGAGGCTTCCACGGTGGTTCAGGTTTTCCTGGGGGGTGAATCTTGAGTACCTGAATGAGTGCTTGTTTGCCCCTGCCCTTCCCCGTGATGTTGGCATTGTTCAGCTCCATGTGCAGGTTCCCTCCCTTTCGGCGGCGCTCGTTGCAGAGGACTTGCGCTCCCGGGGCCTTTTGGCTTCGGCCTTGCGGTTCTTTTTTCCTCCTGGAGCTGTCCTCGGATTGGCTCGTGGTGGATGTGAGGGCACTTGAGTCCGTTCCTGGGTCTGGCGCCTTGTCCTTGGCGGCTCGCTCGTCGGTTGCCTTGTTGAAGCTTGTCCCGTCTGCAGGATGTGCTTTCCCTGTTCTATGGGTTCATTGCCCGGCTCCCGTTCGGATGACTACGCTGTCCTCCAGGAATCTGCGGCTCTGGCTCTTGGAGCCGGGCCTTTTTGTCTTGGATGGTGTCCCTGGACCTCCAGGCTGCTTATCTGGCATGTCCCGATTCATCCGAGGTTCAGGGACTGGCTCGGTTTTGTAGTGGGGCATCAAGGTTACCGCTTTCGTTGTCTCCCGTTTCGGGTTGAACCTGGCACCTCGCGTGTTCACACCTTACACGGGTTGTGGTGGCTCGTTTGCGTCTCCTAGGTGTTCGGGTGTTGGCCTACCTCGATGACTGGCTGGTTTGGGCTCCCAGCCAGTCAGCTTGCTTGCTAGCCAGGGATTTGGTTCTTTCCCAGCTCGCCGGGTTCGGGTTCTTGGTGAACTGGAGGAAGTCCCATCTGGTTCCCTCTCAGGTTCGGACTTGGCTGGGTCTCGTTTGGGACTCTTGGACCACTTCCTTGTCTCTCCCTCCGGAGTCTCTCCTGCGGCTGCGGTCCCGCCTTCGTCTGTTTCTGGAGGGCTCTCGGGTCACCCGGCGGTTGCTCGAGGGGCTGTGCGGGAGCCTGAACTTCGCGATGGTGGTCTACCCGCCGGGTCGGGTTTGGCTTCGGGTCGGCTGTTCTGCCTTCCTTCGGGGTTCGACCCCCGGAGGCCTTCCGCCTCTCTCGCTCTTCGATCGCAGAGTTCGACCCCCCTCGGGGGTTACTTGCGTCGGTTGCTGCGTCAACCGGCTTCCTCTTCGGGTTTTTACGGGGGGGCATTCAGTGCCTTGGCGCCTACCCGAGCCCAGGATCACGCTCGATGTGTACACGGATGCGTCGTCTCTCGGCTGGGGTTTTGTGACCAGTGCTCACCAGGCCGGCCAGGGGCGTTGGGGTCCGTCCTTCCGTCAAGCCCACAGCACGGTGCGGGAGTTCGCGGCGGTGTGGTTTGCTCTTCGGAGGATTCGGGTCGCCCACGGATCGACGATTCGGCTCCATTCGGACTGCTCTCCGATGGTTCATTGCCTGAACCGCAGGGGTTCGATGCGGTCCTTGGCTCTTTGGGGTTGGTCGCTTCAGGTGACTCGTCTGCTGAGTTCTCGGGGTTTGGCTCTCCTGGCGGTTCACGTACGGGGAGTGTCCAACGTCTTGGCCGACGCCCTGTCTCGCTTCGTTCCCCTCTCCACAGAGTGGACGGTCGACGACGAGTCCTTCCGTTGGCTTTGCCAGACGTTCGGGCGCCCCGAGGTGGACCTCTTCGCGTCGGCATGGTCGAGGCGTCTTCCCGTTTATGCGGCGCCCTTCCCCGATTGCGAGGCCGTCGGGGTCGATGCCTTTCGGCTAGACTGGTCGAGGTGGGGGTTCCTGTACCTCTTTCCCCAGTTCGGCTGTTGCTCCAGGTCCTGACTCGCTTAGAGACTTACCAGGGAAGAGTTGTCCTTCTGGCCCCTTGGTGGCCGGCGCAGCCTTGGTTTCAGGCGCTGGTTGCTCGGTGTCCGAACCCGAGGGTTTTCCTGCGGCTCCGCCTCTTTCAGCAGATCGGTCCGGTACGTCACGTGGCTGGTTCGATCTTCTCCTCGAGTCTTCGCGTATGTTTTTTTAACTCGAGTCTATCATCATCTCTATGGTGATCAGGTGGCCTCCTTGTTGGTGTCCCACCTGTGGGCTTCTTCTCGGCGGCAGTATGAAGTTTCCTGGCGGTCCTTCCGTTTCTTTTTGCGTCTTCGTCGTGTTAGCTCCTTGTCTGTTCGGGTGGTCTTGTCCTTCCTCTCGTGGTTGTTTCAGGACCGTCATCTTATGCCTAACACT